TGTGTGTGTGTGTGTGTGTGTGTGTGTGTGTGTGTAATGAATGGTATATATGTAAGTTGGACTAATAACTTTAAAAAAAAAATTCAGTTTAATTTCAAAAATAATTTCACGAAGGACAATGGAAACAAAAGATTTGGATAATTCCAAATCTCAGAATAAACACATTGTGTTTCAATAAGTTTTAGAAATTAGAATAGTAATAACATTAGCTGATCATATCATTACATGTGCTTTGTATAATTTTAATTCTTCGTCAGTGTGCATTTCTTTTTATGCAATTTTTTTAAGTGCAACTTATAAAAAAATTTTCGTAACAAATTTGTTTAATTTGTAAAAAATTTTGTTTGTTAGTCCTTTTCCTGTTAAAGTTATTTCTGAATTGAAGAAGAGTGGAGAAATAGACGAGATGAGAAATTTTAAAGAGAACGGGAAAAAAAGTATGGCAAAAGAAGGTATAAAAATTTGAAACCAAAGTTAAAAAATCACTAAAATTTCTCAAATGATTCAAAAATGCAAGGCAGTCAAGAAGAGTTCAATTTAATTCAAAATCAAAAATGTTGAGATTAAAGAAAGCGAAAATATCAGTTGCAAGAAAAAAATTCCAGAAGGAGACGAATGCACAATTATGGGACTTATAGATTTTCAAGAATTTATTTCGGTAAGAAAAAGTTAAAATAAATTTATTGATTAATCCAAATTCACTGCCGTGATTGTGAATGAAATGCGACTGATGAAGAAAAAAGAACGTGAAGAGTGATATGAATGCATCCTTGCGACTATCTCTTAAATATTTAACTGCAGAGAGGATTTTCTGATAATTTATTGAAGCAGTTGATAGGGTGGAAGTTATTTTTGATAGAACAGGGCCAAATTATCGTTATAGGATCGAATCAATCATTTTAATTTCAAGAAAAGAATTTTAAATTTTCAATCGATATGAAAAAAGAATCATTTCTTAGCAAAATTTAGTACGTGATAAAGAAATAAGGCAGAAAGTGGCATAAAAATTAGCATTAAAAAAAAGAAGTATAGAGGAAAACTACTTTGATGGGTAACCGTAAAGTAAGCAGGAAGCGCAAATGAAAATAAATCGAAATGAGATATTGCTAGCTTTTACTGGGCTTTTTTTGCTATCGAGAAAAAATTGTTTGTTTCAGTAGAATTATTCCCTAACATTTGTAAAATTAAGTTATTTTGTTTATTCCTAATTGGCTATTTAATCTCATTACAATAATTTTTCAACTTTTATCAATCCTTCTCGCATCTTTCATCGCCCTTTCATTTATTATTATGAGTAACAATTAATAACTGCTGTGAATAATAATTACCAATTAATATGAGTAATAATTACTAAATTTAACAATACTCCTACTAGTAATAATTACCAATCAATAATAGTAACAATTACTAATTACTTAGAGCAATATTATCTCTCTGAGTATCCATATTTCTAAGCTTACATGATTTTACTTTAAAAAACGAAAATGTGAGATAAGTGCACTGTGAAGCATTTCACTTTGCACTATTGTGATATCATGATAAAGAACAGAAATAAAGAATAAATCAGAAAAGTATGCATTGAAAACCTTTCGTTGGATATGCATAGGTAAAACATCAATTGCCTATTCAATTAGAGTGATTAGTATGAGAGGAAAAAACATATTAGAAATTTAAAAACTGAATTAAATGTAGAAAATGATGACAAAATCAATGTAATCCGGAAAACTTTCGAATTACTAAGGAAGGTAGAGAAGAATGAAAGAGAGAAAGAAAGGGAGAGAAAGGGAGAGAGGGAGAGAGAGGGAAGAGGGAGAAAGAGGAGAGAGAGGAGGAGGGAGAAAGAGGGAGAGAGGGAGGGAGAAGAAGAGAGAGAGAAAGGAGGGAGAAAGAGGGAGAGAGGGAGGGAGAAGAAGAGAGAATGGATCACTTTTTTATAAGAATACTATTATATCTTGTCGATAATATTAACGACATCCATCAATAACACAACTGTTAGCACATGTTCTTCTCTAACTTAACCGTTATCATTTTCCGGTAAATGATAATGGAGTGATTAGTAGCTAGAAGTGATCAGATTGATATAAAAGGGAGTGAAAAGAAAATGAAATAAGAATTAAAAAGCGGGAGATGAAATAGAGAAGTTAGATTGTTCATTGCGCATAATGTGTGATAAGTTTACCATATGATAAATGATGGAGCCACCCGCTCACTAATTAATATCAGTTAAAACGCCGGAAAGTTAAAATTCGAAAACAGGAAATCCCAACTCGGATGACATTTTTTTTCTTTTTCAATACTCTTCTCTTCATTTTCTGTCACTTTCTCATTTCTACTTAAGTATTTAGGAGAAAGAAGAGTTTATTTAAATGTTGATTATAAGCTGTGGAAGAAAAAAAGAAAACGGAGAGGACGAAGAGAGGATAGGACAGGCCGAGAAGGAAAAAAAGTTACATGAATTTCTTGATTCCTCTATTGCGGGAATGAGGAGATCGCATATCTAATTTCAGGTGGCATATCTCGACAAATGAATTTCCGGACCATTTTGTCTATTTAGAAAAACTGCACAAAGTTTCGACTTCTTTTCAACCGTTTTCGCTCATTGTTAAGTACAAGACTGGCTTCGTCCCATAGCCTTTTTTATCAGTTAGTCATTTATCTAAAGGTTTTAAAAGAAATCTGAAGTTCCGCAAACAGAATTGTTAAGAAGCTAGAAAAATAATTAACTTCCGTTTTACCGCTCGTGATTTGCTCAATTTGCTGAATATTCTTATTGTTGCCAGAATTACAAAATGAGAGAAGAGTTAAGAGAAAACCAATTTTTCTTCCTTTATCATTCATTCTTTTATAATATTTAAATGATGTTGCATTTTCAATTTGGATAAAAAAGGAAGTTAAAATATGATCTACTGATCTATTTCAATTTATTCCATCAATACAAGTCAAATCGATGAATTTTAAGGTTAACAGAGAACAGTAAAAGGCGTGGATAATTTGATGAGAGTTGTTGCTCTTTTATAGAGCACTTTTTTTATGATCAAAAGTTGTTGCTCTTTATAGAGCACTTTTAAGCTTGAAGATCCCATGAGAGCTTTGCCAAGCTGCCTCTTCAGATTATTATAAAAGCAACTGTAAGGCCTTGCATAGAAAAATGGATGAAGTGCAGTATGTTTTTTTCTTACATATTTCATACACCCACTCTTCGGGTGAAAAGGACAAGGCCTGATGTCACCCATTATTCTCTCTCTTCCTCTCTCCTATTCCTCTCTTTCTCCCTCTCCCTCTCCTTCTTCTTATTGAAGCATCTTTAAAACTAGTGAAG